TATACTTTAAATAAAGTGTTTTAAAAAAAAAAAAAAGAAAAACGTTGTTTCCCGTTTGTGATAACACAAGTAAATCTTTTGCTCTCTATATAAAACTTACAATAGTTTAGTTTCACTCATGATTGTCTAACTCATATAAGTATGATATTACATTTTTCTTCTTAGGATAATATGTGTTGGGTTAATGTCATATATTTTTTAAGAAGTATCCAAAACATGCAAGTTTCATTTATATAATTTTTCAAAGGATCTTATATGTATTTTCAGTCTTATATATTTTTCATACAAGTTTCACACAAGACAGATAAAAACCTTATAAGATTTATATATATCTTTTCCATATGGGTGTACTCAGTCTGAGGACTTTGGAAGTGTTATTTCCTATGGAGACAGACTGGGACCTGTCAGTTAGGAAGTTCAAGATCCAGTTGCAGAGAGTGATGTTTATTCCCAGTAGGTCCAACTTCTTTACCAGCCTCTGGGGAATGACAGTGTTGAATGCTGAGCTGAAGTCATTAAACAGCTATCTGACATAAGTGTCCTTTTTGTTGAGATGGGAGAGAGAAAGGTGAACAGCAGACGAGATGGCATGATTTCTGGAGCATTTTGGGCGGTAGGCAAACTGTAGCAGGTCCAGATTCAGTGGAAGGTGAGTTTTCATGTGCCTCAATACCAGCCTCTCAAAGCACTTTGTGATGATGGGTGTAAGTGTCACCGGCCGGTAGTCATTGAGGCAGGAAACAGTGACACTTCTTAATCACTGGGGTGATTTTTGTAGTTTTGATGCATAGATCAGTGGTGTATTTAAGATTGTCCAATCTGGGGGAGGGGTGAAGCCTTGTATGCTGAATGTTTGAGTAAACAAGGTCTAACATGTTGTCCCCTCTTGTCGCAAAGTCAATGTTATGATGAAATTTGGGAAGAACTGATTTTTATCAGGTATCGCTCCCTCCTTTTATGTGACATTGGCAGGACTTTTGTTTTGTTGTAATTATAAAAGACCAAATTGGTTGTGAGAGTTGATCATTCAAGATCAGCTCAGCAGACAAAACACAGTTTAAGTGTCATGGTAAGCTGTGCTGGAGGCTAGAGTAGGGCCCAAATACAGGACTCTGAGACAAAATATTAACTTAAAGAGGCAGCTTTTTGTGATGTAGTAATTACATAAAGCAAAGTACAAGACAAAACACTAAAAGAAGCAAACAAAACCTAAACTTGAACTCAGATCTTGGCAACTGAAGCACTCATAACCAGACATAACTGAGAGAACATGAAAGACACTCTATGGCACAGCTACTATGGAGAACATGACAAAGAACAGAGGGCACACATGAAGGATAACGAGGAGATGGATAACAGGTGTGAACACAGCTGGGACTAATCAGTCATGGCCAGACACGGAGGAAGGAAAACTGGTTACACTTTTTGTTTTCTTTTATTTTTCAATACCAAACTGTCATAATACACATAGGTACATATAGAAATAATAATATTTTCCTTTTTCTTTTTTATAGCATACAAAAAAAACATAAATGGGATGAGTACCTGAATACCCCCACTCCCTGCCAATAATGTAAAAATGAATATGTTACAGAGGAACTGAATTAACCCATACAAAATATACAAAAAAAAAAAAAGAAGCAAGAACAAGAAATCAACAATAAGATAGTAGTGCGTATCCTTATAGTTTAATATTAACATTAATAAATATTGATATAAATCTTAACAAATATTAACAGTAGTAACAATATTAATATTAATATTAGTGATTACTTGCACAGCGGTTGAAACAAATTAATAATGCTGGAATATCTTTAAATAAAGTATTCTTATAAGGTAGAACAGCCACTGCCGGGAATAGCAGAACAATTTGTACACTGTCATATGGTGGACTACAGAGAGAGTTCTACTTTTCTAAGTATTTAAGTAATGGTTTCCAGTGAGTAAAAAATCTATCGGATTGGCCTCTGATGGAGAATTTTATCTTCTCCAATTTTAAGAGTCCTAAGATATCCTGTAACCAGACTTTAATTAATGGTGGCTGAGATGATTTCCACAACAACAAAATGATTTTTCTAGCGATGAGAGAAGCAAAGGCAATAAGGTTATTTTGAATAGCTGTAGTATGAAGGTTATTTGGTGGTTTGCCAAATATAGCAATATGTGGAGTCGGAATCAATTTTATATCCGAAATTATTTTGAAGAATTGATGCCAAAATTCAGACAACCTAGGGCACGCCCAGGACATATGAGTAAGATTGCAAGGTATCTGTGAGCATCTGTTACATTTATCATCAAATTTATCTGGGTAAAATTTTGACAGTTTTTCTTTACTGTAGTGTAATCTGTGGAAAATTTTAAATTGTATTAATGAAAGTCTGGCACAACTACAAGACAAATTAATGGCCCCTTCCACTCCCTCCCACAACAACTCATATGGAGTTCTGACTCCCATTTCATCTTGGTACTGTTTAAAAGAGATTCACTAGGTGGAGAAGCTAGTTTATAAAGGTAAGAAATATGACCCTTTAACAAAGTTTTGGCTCTGAGAACCAAGTCTATTCCACTGGAAGTTGGGATTTGTGGAAATAAAGGTTGAACATTTCTTTGCAAAATTTTGCACCTGGAAGTACCGAATAAAATCGGATTTATTGAAATTAAAGCGAGTAACTAGTTTGTTAAAAATTGCAAAAACCTCATTTACGTATAGATCATCAGTACCAAGTCCTTTATGTTCTAAAACAGAGAATCTTAAGTCCATCTTTGCTGGAACAAATAAGTGATTGTTGCAGATCGGGTTTGCAAGAGGGAGGGTGAGCCAAACAAAGTGTCATCTTATTTGTGACCAAATTTTTAATGTTTCAGTAACAACTGGGTTGGAAGACCGGTTTAATAGGGATGATTGTGAGGTATCACATGCTAAAGCAAGTAATGACGAGGAACAGGAGGCTGCTTCACTCTGGCACCAATTAGTATAGGGAGACGTATACCACAATAATGTATTATACATGTTAGATGCCCAATAATACCCAATTAAATTAGGCAATCCTAATCCTCCTGTCATGATTCGGCTGTGTGGCAGGCAGGAAGTGGACCCAAACGCAAGCTCACAGAGGCAGGAATGAACTCAAAACACAGCTTTATTGCTGGAGGGAAACGGCGAAACAAACTGATAAGAAACTACACTGGGAAGCAATACACTAGCACACAGAGAAACACACGGCCATAACAGAGGGAGACGTGGACATAAATACACAGAGGTTTAACGAGGGAGGTGGGAGCACACGGGGAACACAGCTGACACAGATAATCATAACAAGAAAGGGCAGGAGCAACACAACATGACGCATACTGACGGGAGACTGTCAAAGTAAAACAGGAAGTACACAGAGGCGCAGACAGGAGGAGACAGGGAGCACGGGGAGAGCACAGACATAACGGGCTGGGGAAAACATGGAATAAAACCAGAGGGGAAACGAGGGCTCACAGATACACAGAGGGGCACACAGGGGGTAAAAGTCACAAAGGGAAGTCAAATAAGGAACAAAATACAAAAATACATGAAACTAAGAATGCTGGGCCAACATGGCCCAGGATCATGACACCTCCAGCTGATCTATCCCCATAAAGAAGCGACCGACTACCCCTTGGACGTTTACCGGCCCAAATAAATAATGAAATAGCGTCATTTATAGTTCTGAAATAATTAGGCAGACAAATGGGCAAACTTTGAAATACATATAGATATCTAGGTAATACATTAATTTTAATAATTTGAATCCTACCAGCTAAAGACAGCGGTAGGTAGTTCCATCTTTGAAGATCAGACTTAACTTTCATTGTAAGTAAAGTAATATTCTGTTCCCGCATTAATCTCAGAGATCGTGAAATTGCAATTCTGAGATAATTAAACCCCGAATTAGCCATTTGAAAGGGTATAGTTCATGTAGGTATGTCTGCAGCCATTTGATTAACTGGAAAGTATTCGCTTTTGGAGATGTTAAGCTTATATCCCGATAAATATCAGAAAGAATTTAATACTGATAAAATGTGTGGGATATTTAGTAGAGGATCATTCACATAAAGAAGCAAACCATCTGCATAGAGCGACACCTGATGTTTTATACCCCATCTATCAATCCCTCCTAATCCTTTCACCATTTTTAAAGCTACTGAGAGTGGTTCAATCACTAATGCAAAACTGGTTACACTTAACACAGGACATATGACTATCAAATTAAACAGGAAACACAACAAATATGGAGACGAGGACTAAGATACGTAAGCTTGACACTCAGACCAAGGGAGAAACAGACTTGGGCACATAACTGACTGGGGACACAGAGAAAACATGGAAGATGTAAACAAGAGAACAAAAAGAGAAACATGTAACACAAGGTTGGCACAGTGACAGAAAACTAAAAACTAGAAATTCTAAATGTAACATAAGACCAAACAATGCGAGAACCAAATCCACGAATGACACAAAATCGAAGAATATTGGAAAAACCCCAAAACACATAAACACTGAGTCACAGACCCAATGCCATGACAAAAAGCTGGTTATACAAAGAGGGAAGGATGATTTTTTCATCAGCCCTGTTACATCACAGCTGATGCAACTTTCCGTGAAATTGCACGTATTGTACTAACAGAACATGCTGCAATATTATTTCTCAAATTTGTGCATTTTTTTCTGAATCTCAAAAAGCTGCTCTTTCTCAGTTTAAGTTGAGATAAGTCTTTTGTTGCTCTTGCTCTGTGTCACAGTTTGATATGAACTATTGATGGACGACCTGCATATTTTCACCCGTATACATGTCATGGATCTGGAAGTATAAGCTTTTTCTTCATGACCTGCTTTTGTTGTTAAAGCATAAGGATTGCCCACCTGTTAAGGAGCACATACAGACATACACGCATGCATGCACTACGATCATTACAGTAAAGAATTCTGATCTAAAATTAAAAATATATTACCTCTGTCGTGGAAATTTAATTAGCCAAGCCTGCTGACATGGGAGTAGCAGTACCAACACCTTTATTTCATCCATGAAGACAGACGTCAGTCGGGGGGCACTGGGAGCCATCTCTGAAGATGCCCAGTCCAGACCTCTTTTAAATACGGTCAACAGAACAAAACGTTGTTGTTCACACTTTTGATATCCTCCAAGGAAAGAGTTCACAGAAAAGATGTAAGACAGAGAAACTAGTCCTGGACCCCAAACAATGTAAAACTTTGTCAGGCCCCAGCTCTGTGCATGTGGACCCATAGCTGCTCTTTGAGGTTGGAGCTGATCGCCAGCTTCTGAAAAACAAATATAATTGGTGAAATACTGAACGAATGCCGGATGTGTACCAAAGAAATGATATAAATAGCTCTGTTTTCATATCCAGCACTTTGTATGTAAGAAAATCTAAAAATATAATAGAGTTCTCAGCAGACTCCATAACGTAAACAACACAGACAGTGATTATTATCTTTAAAAAGAAAAATTATAGTAAAAATCATCTTACCAGTATCGACACGATGCCTTGGTAAAGATCATGCAGTGATGTTTCCAAGTGTCATCATTTCCTTACAAATGCATTTGGAGATCAGCACACTGCATCCTATGCAGTCGTATTTGTTGGAGAAATTGATTGTCATTAATGAGAATGATTTACGTGTAAAGAATACATGATCAAAAACAAATGCCTATAAACTGTTAACACATGACCTATTGAACCTGCCAGACTGTTTCATGTTATAACCTTTTAAAAACTCACAGAGTCCTGCAAGATAGAGGAACTGAAAATGCGACTGCGCCTGCCAGCTCCTGTCATCTCAAAAGAAAGACATGTTTTACAAGGACTAAATATGAGGAAGTCACATGACCATTGCTTCTATGTGTCCTAATACGGTTGTGCACCATAAATCTTCGAGCGGATTAGAAGATTTATTTAAAGTTTTCCACTGCAAGTATAACCAGCTACAAGTTCCTGTTTTTATAGTTCAGAAAGATGCTCACACTCGTTAAAGGGTCACGCCATAAATGGTGACAAAAAGTGCCCCCCCCACACACACACACACACACACACACACACACACATACACAGTGACACTGATGTTGCTCACACACATGCCTGCTTAAGACTGTCACATGTATTTGTAATTGCACATTCATGTATGATCACTGCTCGCAATAAAAAGAGGAAAAGAGGGAACTCAGGTTTGGAGTTGCTTGGATGGGCGAGTGGTAGCACTGCTCACCTCGACGCACCCCCTTGCCGGCAAGAAAACCAATTGAGCTCTGAGTGTCTTGCTTCATTCACAGTGACAGGTCTCTGAGACAGCGAAGTCTGTGAGTTTAGGCCTAACAGTATTCTAGAGGCTGATCTAAAGAATTCCACACAACAGCTACAGTTATAGTCTCTGGTCTCCTCCCCCTACTGTAAATGCCCCCACAATGGTAAAATACTGATACAGTAACCAGTTAAACCAGTTAGTTTAGTTAGATGTGTCAGGTTTGGTCGTGAAAGTCGACTCCAGTGTGATGTTGCGGTTCTCCTCTGCCTGCAGGTGTCCATAAGTTACGGTACTTCCGCAACTACCTAGTGCTACAGAAGAGAAGCAAGCATAAAGGTAGTTTTTTAAGTGTCAGGTAATTTTAAATGTGATGTTTCTATCAGCTCATCAAACATCAGCAACTATTTAAAGGTTGCAGGTTAGTGCAGGATAAACAGGTTAGTTTGCTGCACTGTGATCGATTTAAAGTAAACAACAGTGTGTGACTGGTGCACAGTGGCTGGGGTTTCATTGTCTAAGTTAGCTTACATCAAGTGTAGCAGAGATTCATAAGAATATAATAATAATAATAATAATAATAATAATAATAATAAAACATTTTATTTGAGGGCGCTTTTCTAAAACCCAAGGTCACCTCTCAAAGAGAAAAAGATATCAGTAAAACGGTAGATTAAAATAAATTAAAATACAAAAAAACCCCAAAAAATAAATAAACAAGATTTGACCCCAAGTTAGATCTGTATTAAAGTGAGTAAGCCAGTTTAAAAGGTTTGATATTGGGAGAAGATTATCAAAATTATTGGGATCTGCACCAGGCTTTTTAAGAATTGGAATGACAGAAGCAGTTTTCAAAGATGAAGGAACAATTCTAGTGTTAAGGGAAGAGTGGATAATACTAGTTATGAGAGGAGCCAATCAGGGAAGACAAGCTTTAACTAACATGGTGGGAAGAGGGCGAAGCTGTGGAGACTGTAGTTACCTCACAAAACCTATAGCTAAACCAACCAAGAAGGTTGGTTTAGCTATAGGCCTTAGTGTGGGTGTAATTGTGCAGAGACAGAGGAATTTATTGACGGTGGGGGTCTGCCTGTCATAAAAGGAAATAGGAAGCCACTGTTGGGAGATGCTAGGACTGTATGGAACAGATAGGAAAGAGAGGGGAAGTTTGTTACCCTTCTCCCTGAATGTGATAAAGGCTCACAACTGTCACAAGTTAGAAGTAGGTTTGCAGGCAAAAGCGGAGTCGCAAAATTTCCGTAGCAGAGTACTGAAGCAGAGCTGTCGCCAGTAGATGGGCGATGGAAAAAAACAACCCAGGTGAGCACGGACCACACAGACACCCTATGGACAATGTTTCCTCTAATTTTTTTAATGTGTCTGAGCGAACACACAAACTCCCTGAGCAGACACTTGGACCACTGTGAGCAACAGCAGACGTGTGCACTGTGGTCACGGCAGCATAGAATCCATCCAAGTTACATGGTTTATTAAAATAATCAAATAACAGCATTTGCATTTATGTCAGACTACTTTTAATTAACTGCTTTAGCCCACTTACGATGGACATTAAAGTAAAAATAACTTGAACTCCAATTTTCAAAACACAACTTTCTTTCCTTTTTTTTTTTATAAAGCTCTGACTTGTATTATGAGTCTGTGGTCTGGGAGAGAGTCCTGCAACTCTGTGTGCAAAATACAGTAAATAATGACCAATGTTGGGCTATTAATTATATAGTTACTTCTTCAAGAAAGTTACTGAGTTATGCAAACAACAAAGTTTTTTGCAGCTGTTTACCTAAAAATGCAGCCAAGGTGGTTTTTTAAATAAACATTTCAAACTATTTACAGAACAATCAGCTGTTCTGCATCAAATTTGATGCAACACAAATTATTTGTGCCACTCCAAAAATAATTTCTGTCCACTATGAGATAAAGGAAAACAACAGCCTGATACCTGCAGGCCTGACAACAGGAGATGTATCACTCCTGTAACACCTGTAACATTCAGCAGTCGCCTCATTGTTCTGACACACACAACAAAACTATTGACTACACTACACACTAACTACACAAGATTTGCACTAAACGTCGCAAATCTGTTACATCTCAAAACACCGCTGTCACTCCTAAAACTTCCCCCTTCCTAAACAACTAAATGCCATGTTGCCATATTGTTTTTTGATTGGTCCACATGGTACATTTTTCCACCAATAGGAAAGGCTGGGGGGTTGGGAGGGGGGCTCCTCCTCACAGGCGCAGAGTGCTTTCGAGCGTTTTCCTTATAAAATGCCATTTTTACAGTTTCTTCCTGCAGTAAATATAAACGATAGGAAAAAAACAAACATTGACAATTTTTTTTTATCATAACCCTGGTTTTACGTGGCCTGGTATTGTTTTTAAATTGTGGTATAAAGTCCACACCTTTTTCCCTCAATTGTTCCGTCTGTCCTGCTCACATCTCCAATGGTTGTACACATTGTCATTAACGCCGCTTTGCATTATTGGCTGGACTATGGGATAAGTTGGCATCGTTCTAATCCCATACGGGAGCAGCCAGTCACTTACTGACCAACACTGTAAAACAGAATTGTTAAATTTTTTATTTTAATTTCAATTCAGGTTAGATTTTTTTTGTACGCAAAGCAGATTTTCTGTGCGCAGAGACCGTGCCAGCTGTGTGCAACTGCGCACGTGTGCAGCTTAGAGGGAGCATTGCCTGTGGATCCACATCTTAATCAGGGCCGGACACTAAATGTAGATGGCTGGAAAAGGCCCGATGAGGGTAAAAGATCAAACACACAGCTGAAGCACAAGCAGTAAAAACCTGCAAATGTTGAAAAAACAAATCAAAACAGGATTACGCTTTAAAAACTTGATTCAAGTTACACGCATACGTTTCATTGTCACATCATCATCCTCATTAGCGTGTGATGAATGCAACTAAAAAAAGGAAGGAAACAACTTATTGAGTAACTTCAGTTTTCTGATGATCTGAGAAACACAGGCGGAGTGAAGTGTCAGACGCTGTTCTTCTGAAGTTTAACAATTTTTCTGCATCAGAATGAAAATCCTCCATTTTCTCTTTTTCTGCATCTTGTCAGGTGAGGACTGATGATCTTAATGTTGCTCTTTAATTAAAAAATATTCAACTTCATAAAATAAACTTTATACACTAAAATTCATACACTAAATAATGTTTTGATTATCTATCTTTTAATAATTTTATTTATTTAATCTTTTCATCTGACAGATCCAGCTGGGCTCGTCAAGGCAAAACCGAAAATCTGGTCTGCAGCCGAAGGAGCAAATGCTTCACTTAGATGCCCTTCAACTTTATCTTTAAGCACAAAGTTCTTCTGTAAGGAAAAATGTGAGCGAGCAGAAGATATCCTCATTAAAACAGATGGAAACACAGCTCAGAGTGGGAGATACAGCATGAAGTATAAAGATGGATTTCCAGGAACAGGATTCATGTCTGTGACCTTCACACACATGATCAAGTCTGACTCAGGACTGTACAGGTGTGGTTTGGGAAAATCTTCTGTTCCAGATACATACTATGACTTTGAGGTCAGAGTTTCAAATGGTGAGTTTGTACAAAAATTCCCTGAAATAAAAAAATATGAAGAGCCCTCACTAGCTCTAATTTAGCATTATATACCATGTTTAGATCAAGCTGTTTAATTAATTAATAAATGCAATTTTAACATGATATACCATGTAGGTGTACATTTTATACAGCATGGAAAAAATTTCTTTCTTTGGCTCTCGGAGGAGGCGGACACACTTTTTCTCCTCTCCCTTATCATCCCTGCTAGTTCTTATGTCCTTGTCTAGTCTCGTGTCTTTTTTGTATTACTTTCCCTGGAACACTCTCTCACAGTCTGGGTCTAAAACCTAAAAGAGAATTATGGATTTGATCAACTGGTCTCTGAAAGCTATTGACACCCTTTAACCCTTTAAGACCTACCATAGAACCAAGTCCGCCAGGGCTTATATTATATTTTTATATGCTGTAGTGCCATTAAGTTGATATACATCAATACAACCATTATAGCCCAAATTTTAATAATATGTATGCATTAAGTGCATAGTAATTACATAAATTGCAAAAAAGTGCAATAAACTACAAAAAAAATTGAAATTGTTTTTGTTTTTTAACATATATTTCTCTATATTTCAAGCAGTACACAGTGCATGTAGTCAGGGACCATTCCATTGATAAGATCAAACAATGGCAAATCTGCAAGAGGAGATGAGCCCTTTATCCCCAATATAGTCTTCCCTTGTCTTTCAGCTATTTGTCCTATTTCTACTTTGGTTTTATGATTTCTGGCACTTGGCTTTTCATCAGGACATGCGTAAACCCTTGTGTTTCCATTCCCTTTCCTTGTTTGCATCCCAGGATGAAGGCAAACTCCACAGCCATATTCACCATTAAATTGCTTGAAATTCTGTAACAATGGTCTTGCTACAGCATCACACACACAGCACAATGTGTGTACTTTCATGTGTCTC